AGTAACAACCAATCATAACATAAAAATCGCAGCATTTAGTAACTTAAATCTATATAATTAAAACAATAAAATCTAATCTACCATATTTTGAATAAACTTGATCCGCAAGATCACAAAACACACGGCTAATTTTAACACATACAGTTTATAATGAATTTAGATTTTAACGCATACATGTTATAATGATTTAACAAATTCCATTAACACACATTAATTGAATTTCAAGGTTTTAAATATAATTTAGCAGATCAAACTGGTATTCATTAGAAATATATTATTCTTATCTACAACTAACTACTAACGTGAATCTCTAACAAATCTATTGTTGTTACCATATATTCTATAATAAATAATTAACAATAATATCTTAGTATTTAACTTAGTTTCAAAAGGTAATAAACTTTAACACCGTAAATNAACTACTAACGTGAATCTCTAACAAATCTATTGTTGTTACCATATATTCTATAATAAATAATTAACAATAATATCTTAGTATTTAACTTAGTTTCAAAAGGTAATAAACTTTAACACCGTAAATTGTGTTGCAAGCTAAACAAAATATCATCTTCAACTCATTATATAAAGGTATTCTCATTTCAATAATCGACACATCGCTTTTCGTTTTCATAGCTTTTTTGTTCTTTTTTCAACAAATTATAGTTCTAATTTAAACGTCATGCTTGTGATTTTATACAGGTCTAACAGAGACTGGGATAATGACTACAATCAAAAGAGATTCGTGACTTATATGTGAATTTTTTTGTGTTAGTTATTTGTTTGCCTAATTGTTTGCTTAATTTAATTGTGTTATCATGTTAATTTAAATTTCATGTTTGATGGTAACCACATTGACATAGTGATGTGTGTCCGTCCAGATAACAGGAATCGAAGGAGGTTATAGCTCATTCAAGAAATAAAAAGTTTAAAGAATGGAAGCGATGTAATTGATCACCTCGATAACTTTCATGTAACTTCAATTTTTTTCCAGAATTCATGGTGTCTTTTGGTATATTGTTTTCTCACTTCAATTTGTGCTTTGTGATGTCACATGTTTATCTGGATCAAACCAAGGAACAGATATGGCCGAAAATAGGTGCAGTTTTCATCGGAGTTTTGATGTTTCTTATCTTTTTGCATCGAGTTTTATCAACATCGAGATTTATTATAGCTAACTATAATTTTTTTTCATAAGCTATAATTTCTTTATTTTATTTTAGCTTTAGGTATGTATTTTGATCTCAATTATGATCTTGAAAAAATAATATTTTTGACATTTATAATTGCATCTTTTTCGCTAACAATAATGTGAAAGTATATATGTATAATCAAAAAGAGAAGTACCATTTTTATCTACCATTAAGAAGTCTTACTAGGTCCATTTCATTAATTGCATAATATAACATAATAATCAATAAAATATTAATAATAAATCAATTTTGATTATTAATTTTAATTATTAATTTTAATTNACCATTAAGAAGTCTTACTAGGTAGACATATGGATTTTATGATATTTATTTAAAAAAATATCATGCTTGGTGATGTAAAGCTAAAAATCTAATAAAATGAATATTGTTCGGATTATGCGGGTATTTCAAAATTGTAACAATTCATATTGATTTAAATGAATAGTGTCTTTTAATTTGAAATAAAATTAAATAGAAAAAAGATATTATTTTATTTATACATTCCAAATCATTATTTTTTTACATACCATATATAACTACAATTATCATTATCATTTCTGCATTGTATACGGGTCAAAAATTCATTTTGATATATATATGGGAATAAGCTAAAATTTCTTTAATATGGTCATTTGCTTAAGGTCACAAAATATTTATCAAGTATAAACAGGTTAAACTAATATATTTGTCATTTTTATTATAAACTAACAAACGGATTAATAGTTTTATTAACAAAAACGAAATCCCGCGCTTTCAAAGAGCGGGTCAAAATCTACAATATTTACATATATGCCACTAGAATATTTAAAACCTATGATTTTTATTTAATTCATTACAAAATCTATTTAATCCTAACAAAATATATTTAATCCAACAATATTAATTTTAAGCTTTTTTAAATAACCAAATAACAATAAAATCTAATATTTTAACCCCTCCTTAATTTTAGGATTGATTTGTTTGTTCTATAATTGTTTTATCTGTTTTTCAAAATTAAAAATATCCAATATATTTTTAACATCTGCACTTAAATTACAATTAAAACTATGTGAAAAATATTTTTCAATATTTTAAAATATTTTCACATGATGCAATTATGATTTAAAATGACCAAATAAATGTTAATTTTTAAGTTTAAATAAATAACTACAAAGATTGAATTTTAAAATCAATATGACATAAAATTTACTAAATATATGCGCTTAAAAACTATAATTTTACATAAATTTTAATTATTTTTAAAATAAATATTTTAAATTTTAAAATAAAGTTGATTTTACAAAATTAATCTGCAATTAATTAAGTAGAAATTTTACAATTAATATTTACAGATTGTTTCATTAAATATGTTAAATATTTCTTGAGTACAAATGGATCTTACAAATACATTTTTTATTTCTATTGTCATCTAACAAACGAGTTAATAATTTTATCAACAAGAAACGGGTCTCTGTCTAGGAATGATTCAAAAACGAATTGGTAAAATATATCTAAAAATAATTTTTATTTAAAAAAACAATTTTAACCAATATGAAATTATTAAAAATTAATTATCTTATTTCAGTTTTTACAAATCAATACTTTAGATTACCGAATAGAACTCATAATTTTATCGGATCCCTATAATTTGTTATTTAACTAAAACGAATAAAAAAATAAATCCTACACCACACATTAAATTGTACGTAATTTTATTTAATCTATATATGTCGAACCAAACCAAATTATTAACAACAATCGATCTGAACCCGGATACTCATGCCTATACATACTTGTGAATAATCGAACAAGGGCATAAATTTAAAGCAAAAATGGTTGACCCGCCCTCTTTAAGGGCGGGTCAAAATCTAGTTATCATTATAAAATAGGAACATGATCATTTTTCAGCAATTGTAATACTGAGAAATCTTCTTGTAACTTTAATGTGTTCTAGTATAAGTGGAATATAGCATAGTATATATCAGGCCAACTCATATATGAGTGATCCTTATACCGTTTGGGACGTGGACGTCTACTTCTCCATATAAGAAATCTTCGTGCTATCTTTTTTTTTTTTTTTTTTTTGAAACAATCTTCATGCTAGGGGTGGGCACTTTATCCGATACCCGAACTCGTACCCGAACCCGACCCGAAATATCTGAACCGAAATCCGAATCGAAGTAGCAAAATACCCGAACGGATATTGAGTTAGGAGAGTTTGGATATCCGAACCTGAACGGATAATACCCGAACCCGAACGAATATCCGAAGATAACCGAACATATGTATATATACCTATTTATTCTTAGTTTATTTGTCTCATTTTATTAAAAATATTTATATTAATGTCATATATAGTTTAAGATTAGATAATATATATATAATTGTAAAAAATGATTTGTTACTCATTTAAAATGCATATTAAGCTTCTTATTTCATATTTTAAACAAAATTTGAATCCAAAATTCGAAAATAACAACCAAAATAATGATTTTTATTTTCAATAATTTATTTTCAAACTTATTAATCGTCTAACTTATTAAACATTTTAAAAACAGTTAAGTTAATAGTCAAATTTCAAATACATGAAACTTATGTAATAAAGAATTTGAAAATATTCTTTTAAAATCTAAATATCCGAACTCGACCCGAAATAACCGAACCCGAACTAAAAATATCCGAACCCGACCCGATATGTAAAAATACCCGAACGGGTTCTAAACCCCAATACCGAAATACCCGAAAACCCGAAATACCCGATCCGAACCCGAACGCCCACCCCTACTTCATGCTATCTAAATGCTAATTTCAAGATAATAAAACATACAACAATCTTATGATTAATCTTATTTACAAAATATGAGATCAACAATAACAAGGGCGTTTGGTCTAGTGGTATGATTCTCGCTTTGGGTGCGAGAGGTCCCGAGTTCGATTCTCGGAACGCCCCTTCTTTTTTCCTTTTTACATCCTCAAGGGTATTTTCGTCGACGAACAATACAACTTTGTCTACGTGTGCATAAAAGCGCATGATAGCAAACGTAAGCATTAACATACTGACCAAAATACCCCTTATCCTTACTTTTTCTATCCTCTCATCTTCTTCATCATCTCTCTTTATCCAACAATTTAGCAAACACATTCACAGAGAGAGAGAGAAACACACACAAAAAAAAAAAAAAGAGTGAAGAAAATGGCATCAACGACTCTCTCCACCACAACCTCAATCCTCTCCTCCTCATCCCCATCTTCCCCACACCACACCTTCCTCTCCCGTCCCACCACACTCGAATTCCCCTCCCGCCTCTCCTCCCTCTCCACAACCCTAACCCACCGCGCAACCCACCTCCGCCCTCTCTCCGCCGTCGAAACCCCCGAAAAAATCTCCAAAATCGGCTCCGAGATCTCCTCCCTCACCCTCGAGGAAGCCCGCACCCTCGTCGACTACCTCCAGGACAAGTTCGGCGTCTCCCCTCTCTCCCTCGCCCCCGCCGCGGCCGCGGTCGCCGCTCCCGGAGGTGACGGCGGCGCGGCGGCGGTGGTCGAGGAGCAGACGGAGTTCGACGTGGTGATCAACGAGGTGCCGAGCAGCTCGCGGATCGCGGTGATCAAGGCCGTGAGGGCGTTGACGAGCTTGGCGTTGAAAGAGGCGAAAGAGTTGATTGAAGGGTTACCGAAGAAGTTCAAGGAAGGTGTGACCAAGGATGAGGCTGAGGAGGCTAAGAAGCAGCTTGAAGAAGCTGGTGCTAAGGTTTCTATTGCTTGAGGTTTTATCTTTGTATTAAAAGAATGTGTTTTTTTTTTTTGGAGTTGGTCTTTTTTTTTTTTAATCTGGATTGTTGGTTAAGGTTTGAGAAAGTATTGTAATTTGAATCAGTTTGGTTTCGTCGTGAGGATCGTTTAGATGCACGTAATGTGTTTGTTGAAATGCCTTAGCTGAAATTAAGAAATAAGATAGAATTGGGATTTGATGAGAATATACAAAAAATAAATAAGAAAATTGGAGGTTTGGACAATAAGTCCGAAGAAGCCTTTTGATAAGCCACTTGTGAAATGCTAATTCGCTACTACTTGCTGTGTTACATTGGATTCTCAAGTGTCGTTCTTCGGAAACAACTGAAACGAAAATAAGAAGGCAGTAACCGAAGTGTTTCGGACAGCCGGAGACATTGTGGATTGAACTTTAAACCATGCCAATTTAGTGCTAGCATTTAGGTCATGCTAATTTGGAGTTGTCCTTTAAGAGAATACCGATTTTTGGTTCGAGCTACAGAAATGAGTAATTGACCAGATGACGAAAGAGTTTAGATTCAGAGGGTGAGAGCGCAATGGAAATGAAATGTTTGAAAGAGAAGCATGAAGAGATGAGAGCGTTGGCTGGATCAACCGGAGGGAGAGATTACTGAAATGAATCAAGAAACTTGTTGGGCAAGGTAAGGAAGATGCTATGCTCGTTCCTCATCAGGTCTTGTTAGATAGAAATAGGATGATTGTTTATTAAACGAAGAATGAAGAAGACACTAGGGATGAACGTCTAGGTATCTGTTCGGGTTCGGATTGGGAATTTTGAATTTTTGGTATTTCGATATATAAATCTAAAATTTGTTTGGGTATTTTTACATATCGGATCCGATTCGGATTGGGAATTTTGGATTTTTGGGTATTTCGATATAGGGATCTAAAACCTGTCTGGATATTTTTACATATCGGATCCGATGCAGATAATTTTAGTTTGGGTTCAATTATTTAGAGTCAAGTTCGGATATATTAGATTTTGAAAAAAAATCAAATTATTTGTTACTCAAATTTCTAATACTTCAAAAATTATAGTTAACTTTTCTGTTTAAAAAAAAATAATAGGGTAAATGATTAATAGGTTTGAAAATAAAATTTTAAAAATTGAAAAACACTAATTTAATTGATTTTGTGAGAATTTGAATACAACTTTTGTTAATGCATGAAATAAAAAGTTTGACATTCATTTTAAGGGAATATAAAATTATTTTGTTTGCAACTATATGTATATACTATGATTTTGAACTATGTCCAACACTAATATAAATACTTTTGATAAAATGAGGGAAGTAAATTAAACATATAAGAATAAATAAACATATATTCGTTTATCTTCAGATATTCATTCGGGTTTAGATACTACCTGTTTGGGTTCTAATATCTTTTAACTCAATATCCATCCAATTATTTTGCTATTTCAATTCAAAATTCCATTTGAATTTTTCGGTTCAGATTCATGTCTGGATTCGGGCATCGGATAAAATGCCCAACCCTAGAAGACACTAGCTTTGTAGCTTTGTGGAGACGAAAGGTCTGAAAACCTGAGACTATTTTTTTTTAACGAAAAGCTATAGCTTTTGTTATGGTGGTTACTTTACTATAGGCTCTTAATGGGCTTTGTGATCTTAATCTTGTGAAAATTTCAAAGTTTCAGAAAATAATCTAAGAGGAGAAATAAGCTGGAGCACAGTTCTGATGGGCCTTGCACATATATAAACCCATAACGTATCTATAAATATAGTTCGTGATTCTACATTTTTTCCATCATTAACTTATAAACCCTAGTTCGTATTCGTCCCTCTCCGCCGCTTAAACCTTCTGGCTGTTGAGTCTTATTGAGATATCATCTCTATTCTCTGTGAATGTTTTTATTTTGGTACCAGTGTTATTGATTTTTGAAGTATTTGGTTTTGGCGAGGATGAATAAAGCTTAATTATTTCTGACACCTCTTGTTTGAGAAGAGTCTGATAAACTTTTCATATGAGCACATTATGCAATATTCTGAGCCTCTGAATATTTTTTATTTAGTTTCATTTTTATTTTCAAATTGTAGTAATAGGATTTGGAACAGGGTTGTGGATTGTGATGATTGTAAAAGTAATTCCTCGTACTGAATAGCCATTGGCTTGATAGACTCACATTACACCCATAGAATATGAGCATCATCAACCTTGTTCCTTGTAGTTTAATTCTTTTTGATATTTTGATGAAATTTAGTAGTTTATCTGATTTTTTAGTTAACGGATTTTCTAAGCAACATCTTTATACAGTATCCATGTCTTGGAATATAATGGTTTTTGGCGAGGATGATTAATGCTTAATAATTTCTGACACCTCTTGTATGAGAAGAGTCTGATAAACTCTTCCTTGAGCATATTATGCAATACTCTGAGCTTATTTTTGACAACATTTTGTTTATTTTCTAGGATTTACTTTATTTGAATAGGGTATTGTTGCGATGATTGTAAAAGTAATTCCTCGTACTGAATAGCCACTGGCTTGGTAGACTTACATTACACCCATAGAATATGAGCAACTTCCTCTGTTTCTTCATATAAAAAGATAATTGTTACTGAAATAAATTTGAAGATGATTGTAACATGTACTAATAAAAAGATTATCTATAAAATTGTAAAAACATGTCTATTTTTCCTTGTCACCTAATTATTAGTACTGTAAAATTATCTTTTTACACACTAGTTCACTCGTTTTCAAGAAAAAAGTTTCAAAAAAAAAGAACTTACACTAGTTCACTCTTTATTGAAGATTTTGCTTATTCGTTGCTTTGTGTTACGGCCTATATAAGGAAAAAGCATTGAAAAATACATACATTTCAATGTTGTTTGATTCTATCTGATAATTCGTGTCTCTACTATTTATATTTGTCACGTATTTTTCGTAAACAACATAAAAATAATCATCGAAACTAATAAGCAAATCACAAAGCCTTTTCCGATAACAGCAGAGTCCTACTGTTTTGGAAACCCAAAGCTTGTGGACTCCATTCCTCGTGAGCCTAAAGAACATTTTACCCGAACTCGAGTACAGACTTCCACAAGATGTGTTATCTTATATATTAAAACAAAAGTGTTTATATATTAAAACAAAAGTGTGACTTGGCTTCATAAATGATTTTTTAAAAATGGACAATTACTTGAAAATTATGTTATATTACCTTTATAATAATCTTATTATTATTATTATATCTTATGAAAAATTATATCTATAATAACAAACTAGATCATAACCCACCCGACTGGGCGCGGGTCTTTGTTTTTATGGTATAGATAACATTTCAAAGTTACAATTTAATGGTTCCAATTTTACTAAGTAACTAGGTGATTTTCCCGTGCTCATGCACAGGTATGTATATTTAAAAAATAAATATACAATAATAATTGATTAATATTTACTTTAATTTTTAAATTAATTTATAGTTTGTATGTCTAATTTATATTATAATATTATATTACTTTAATTATATATATAATTTTAGATATGTTATATATTTAGTCTGTTTTATAGTTTTTACGGTCAATTTAGTTACCTTTTAGATATATTGGATTCTATATATTTCTCTGCATTCAATTATAATCTTTTATATTTTATATATATTAATTGTCTTATTTGCATTTATGCTAGTTGTTATCTTAGAAATATAAGTATATTTAGTAAGATTATATATAATTTAAGATTTTTTTGTGCTTAGAAGGAAAAAAAATAAAAACTAAAGTGTGTGATTATAAATTACATACATAAGTAACTAATGAATTTTTAGAAGCTTTTGAACACATATCAATATTTAGAATAATTAAAATATTTTATAAATTCTAAATAAATTTATGCTTTAGATTGATTGGATGGTAAACCAAAATTTATTTTAAATAATTTTAAAAATAAAGATTCTGATTTGCTTAAGTATTTTGACTATGGTTATATTAAGTTTCACAAACATAACAACAAAAAATTAAATTGCCGAACGAAGAACACTATGACGGAAGGCGACAGCGAAGGCGACAAAAGTGGCGACTCCCTCTCCCCCCCCCCCCCCCCCGCGAAACCCTTGGAAATCTCCTGCAACAGACCCCGTGTTCATGGTGGAAAACGGCGTTGCCTCACTGGAGCTTCCCATCGAGACGTTTGAGGACTCCACCCCTCTCTGGAGAGCTTTCGCAGTTGGATACTTCATCGGTGATGCCCCCCACGTTGGAACGATTCACGCTACGGTCAATCGGATTTGGACCGCGCCTGGATTCACAGGGAAAATCGATGTTCAGTTCATTGCTAAAAACACCGTTCTTTTTCGTATTGCGAACGAAGCTCTGCGAAATCGAGTGATTCAGAGACGCTACTGGCACATCTCAGATATTCCCTTGGTTCTGAATGAGTGGACTCCTGAAACGGCTGCTTCCCCCCCGGACTTGTCGGCAATGCCTCTTTGGGTGGACCTGAAGTCGGTGCCAAGCCACCTCTTCTCACAAGTGGGTTTGAAAGCGATTTCGAAACCTGTGGGAAACTTTGTTAAGCTTCACCCACAGACAGAGAAGTGCACTAGGCTGGATTTGGCTCGTGTTCTCATTGAAGTTGATTTGCATACTCCACTGGTTGAAACCATCACGTTTGCAGATCGAGATGGTAGTAAAGTAAAGGTCGCAGTGACATACCCCTGGCTTCCTTCACGATGCAGTCTATGCTCTAAGTGGGGACATAAAACCGAGGTTTGTGTGCCAAAGGAAGTGGTAACGGGTAGAAGAGACAAGGAGGTTGACGAGAGGACGGTGGTGGAGGTTGCTAAAGACAACTCTGCTCCAGTTACTGCTCGCGGTGTAGTGGATGATTTAATGCAGGAGTTGGCGAAATTCCCTATCAGTAGCGAGGAGGATGTAAGGAATAAGCGTGAGGGTAGTGAGACAAGTGAAGGAAATGATGTGGGCAATTACCAGGGGCTGGTGAACGCTGAACATGCTCTGAATTCGAAGGAGGTGGCAGAGAGTAAAGTTTCTGGCTGGCAATCAGCCTCGAAGACTAGGCCTGGGCATTACGGACCCGAAGACCCGAACCGGAACCGACCCGAAAATATCCGACCCGAACCCGACCCGAAAATTTACAAATACCTATTGGGTCTAAATTTCTTTTACCCGAATAGACCCGGACCCGAAAAGAACCGACCCGAATAGACCCGGACCCGAAAAGAACCGACCCGAATAGATCCGACCCGATAAGAACCGATTTTT